AAAGTCTCTGATGGTTGTGGAGGATCTCAGAGTCATTTGGGAGGGGTTGTGCTGACCTTTGAATCCTATGTCTTTCTCTAATTTTGGGCTGTGTAGGTTTTCTCTTTAATTAATGAATTCATTCAACAAATCTATATTGAGTACCTGGTATGTTCCAAGCATTCTGAAGGGTGCTAGGGACATAGCTGTGGAGGACACCAAGTGCTCGCTCCATGAGGTTTGCAAAGTAAACATAGTCATCGTATATTTATCCACCCCAAATCAGGGCCACCCTGGGGATCCTTCCTGTTCCTCAGTATCTGCAGCCAACTGATCCCCAATCTTTTGCTCTCTTTCTCTCTCTGTGACCTCATAGCTATAAGAGTTTATCTGTCTACTTCTTTCTCACCTGCTTGTGCCAATGCCAGCATTGCTCACTCAGGTCTCTTACATTCCCCTCCTGTATTAGTCTCCCTCTCGGTACTATAACAAATTATCTAAACTCTGGCGGCTTCAAGCAACACCATTTTATTGTTTTATAGTTCTGAGGTCAGCAGTCTGGCACAGGGCTCAGCGGGCTGACCCTGAGCTGTCCACAGGCTGCCTTCCTTCCTGGAGGCTCTGGGGAACCTATTCCCTGGCCTTGCCAGCTCCTAGGAGCCTCCTGAATTCCTCAGCTCATTGCGCCTCGTTCCACCTTCAGAAGCACCCACGATGGTCTCGATCCTTCTTACACTGCGTGGCTCTCATCACTGCTTCTCCCTCCTTCTCTTATTAAGGGTGTTTCTGATTGCCCTGGGCCACTCCAGATAGTCTGGGCAGTCTCCTGATTGTAAGGCCACCTGATTAGCAACCTTAATTCTATCAGCATCTCTTTTTACCATCTTCTAACTCTTTTGCCACATAACCTAACACACTCATGGGATCTGGGGATCAGGACACTGGAGAAGGGCTTGCTTTGCCCATCTGACCTCCTAACTGGTTCTCCTGCCTTCACTCATTTCTCTCCCATCTAATTTCTAAATAGCAGGATTTTTAAAAACAACCCTTGTTAGATGATTTCCCTCTCTTGCCTGAAACCCTCTCAATGTTCTTGGGACAAGGTCCACCTTATTTACCTCACCCTACGGGCCCTTCCTGTCTCCCAACTTCGCCCCCTGCCTGCCTCGCTGACCTTGTTCACCAAGCCCCATTACACCTGCTCCTGCAGCACCTGAGGTCCTGCCTACCCTGCCACAGGACCCTGGAATGAGCTGTCCTTTTCCTCTGGCTCTTGTGCTTAGAGCTCAGGCTGAATGTCTCCTTGGAGAGAAGTTCTTGGTGAGATATCCAAAGTCTATATGCCAGTACTTCTCTCAGAGCCCTGAGCAGGGTATGTGATTCCTCGGCAGCTCCTTCTCAGTGTCTGTCCCAGATGGACTGCAGATTGTGATGGCAGGAACCCAGCTGCTCTGCCTGCACATTGGGAGTCCAAGGAATATCATTTGTTAGAAAAACAGCAAGATACAGAAGGATATGTATCCTCTATGTGCCCACAGCCATATATGTCTGTGCAAGCAGAAGGTTCAGGCAGGATCAAGTGTATCATAGGGGAGTACACTGGGGGAGACAAAAGGGTAACTTCTCCTTTTTACTTCATGCACATTTGATTGCTTAAAAAATCCTTTTTATTATTAATTCTTTTGTGACAAGCATGAGTAACCTTCTTTTGGTGGTGGTGGTACTGAAATGAACCAAGGACCTTGCACTGAGCTACAGTCCCCCATTTTTATTTTTTAATTTTGAGGCAGAGTCTTGCTAAATTGCCCAGGCTGGGGTTTAAACTTATGCTCATCTTGCCTTAGCTCCTAAAGTGCTGGAATTAAATGTTGTTTAAAAAAAATTAAAAATCAACAAAATTTTTTCCTCCAAGTGAACATGACCAGATGCCGTAGACATGAGTGGGGATATGTTTTGAAATGCCGTGCTTTCTGCACATTACTGAGACGTGTCCTGTGCATCTGTGCAGACCCTCAGCTCTACTCCATGGCTCCCCACTGCCCTCGGCAGGGCCAGGCCACAGGGTGGGAGAGGGGCAGCCTCATGTCAGAGTGGCCCCATCGCCCTCATGTTTTCCACCACAGCTCTTTCCTGCCTGGAGAACCAAGATGGACCACGGTGAGCCAGGGTGTATGGCGTGTAGATGTGTGGTGTGCATGGTGTGTGGCATAGGTATGTGTGTTTTGGTTTATGTGGTACATGTATGTGGTGTGTCCAGTGCACGGGTATTGTGCATGTGTGATGTGCTGTGGGAGTGTGCCTCGCGGTGTGTGTTCATGCCTTGCAGTATTTGGGTGTGGAGGTTGTGGCTGGTACGTGTGTGATGTGTGGCATGTATGTGTGTGTGGTGCATGGTAAACATGGTGTGTGTGTGTGTGGTATGTGTGTAGGGAGTTGTGAGTCACTGGAGCCACAAAGCCTGGCCTGACTCTCCAGCCTGTCCTTTGACACACACTACATGCAAGAAGCTAAGCACACCCTCTGCCACTTCTCCCTTGGGGTTCTTTGCCCATGGCTGTGCCCACAGGGAGCTCTCTGCCCTGCCTGTTTAGCTGCCAGCCATATACCCCTTCATTCCCAGGTCCACTGGTGAAGCGTCCACCTACCTTCCTGCCTTTCCTCTCCCTGGGCGAGCTGGGCCACCCTGCCTGGCAAGCTGCAGATGGTAAAGAGGGTGACCTCTGACTGCTCACTATCTGGTTCCTGACCCAAGCTTCAAGGCCCCTGCAGTCACTTTGAGCCAGTGAGGTAGGCCCTTTGCACCTCAGTGTCCCCATCTGTGACATTTCTTATGGCAACTGGGGGTGCCCGTGAATGGGGCGACTTATTTAAACTGCCTGTTCAGAGCCCAGGTATCGGAGGGTGGGCCTCAAGGCCATGAGGCACCATCTATGTGTCTGGTCTGCAGCGAGGTATCTGGGGCAGGGGGAGCCTTAAGAGGGAGCAGCATCTGAGCAGAGCTTTGGGGACCAGAAGCCATGCTGGCTGGTGGATGGCACCACACACACTCAGCCACGCAGGATGGGAGTCCAGGAAAGAGTGGGCGGATACAGTGAGGAGAAGAGAAAGTGCCCAGTAGCAGAGGCCCAGCCCCTGGCACAGGGCCAGCGCTCCACAGGGGGAGTGGGGGGCTCCCAGCCTCTGAGCTGCTTTAGTCCAAGCCATTTGGGTTTGGCGGAACACACAGCAGAGCCTAAAGAGGTGGCTGTGGATTTTCCTTTGAGCTCTCAGATGTCTTAAAATTGGTCCGAGTAATTTTTTCCCCTCAAATTGTTCAAAATGTTCTGTTTTTGGCCTGAGTGCTTGGGTTTCACATTGCCTCATGGAAAGGGTTCTGGGGCACACTTGGAGGTCTTGGGGAGCTTAGTGAGCCAGGGCACCCCATCCATTTATCCTGCTCCTCTGCCAAGCCTGGCCCAGGGCTGGAGGAGGAGGTGACTGGTGGGCACTAAATAGGCTCAGCGCCTGTGGGCAGCCTGGGCTGCTGGGAGCCCGGCCAGTTGCAGCCTGGTACCTGGCTCCTGGCTTCAAAAGCAGCTGCCCAGGAGGGAGGGACAGAGGCCTGGGCCTGGTTCGGTAGCTCTGTGGCTCTGACTGTGTTGGCTCTGGTTGTGACATCTGTGACAGGACAGTGATGTGGGTGCTGGATGCAGCAGCCATGGGAGGAAGGACGGCTCCACTGTGGAAAATCCTCTCACACTCCCTGCTTGTATAAGGACACGTCTCCCTCAGGACTCTTCTCATTTGTCCCAAGACAGTACCTGGGGCCTGGAGCTAAGTGCTGTTCTCCTAGAATTCATGGTGAATGCTCTCTTGGGGATATGCAGCCAGCAGCATGGCCAAGAGGGGAGCAGTCTTGGGGCCGGAAGTCACAGGGAAGAGAAGTGAGCTCACTCTGGGCCCACACAGCACTAGGTCTGTGGCAGTCACAGGTACATCTCAGGAGCGGCCTTTGCTCTTTCAGAGGTGAGGCAGTGTGGTGGATTGACAATTGGTGGGCACCCAGCTGAACTGAATTGGCGGGGTGTAGGGTGTGGAAGGCCCACCTGAGGATTGCTGCCAGCAGCATAAAAGGTGAAGAATAAATTGTGTAGTTGGTTCTCCTGTTGCTGTTGGCTCTCCTGGAGGAGCTTGCTGAGCTTCTTTCCTGATATGAAATTGGCTGTTCTGGGGGCACTCTGGTCCTTACCCTGAGCATCACTTCCTGACCCCAACTCGAATCCCTCAGGCTGCCAGTGCAGATCCTTCATCCTGCTGGTGCAGGCTTTCTAGCTTCCACCGCTGACCTTTGGGCCTTCCCAGGGCAAATGCTTGATACAGACTTGCATGAGGCATTGACATGGGCTCTAGATCTTCAGCTGGACTCATGCAGGATGCTGTTGTGGAATCTGTGCCCTTGGCTGGATAGTATATAGGGGACCCAGGGCGGTTACTGTCCCTTCTTGACACCCTCTTGTCTTCTGGTCCTGTCTGGTTCACATGAAGGCCCTCCATGCAGGCCTGGCCCTGCCTTGCAAACACAGAAAACTAAGAATGGCTATTTTGGGTGAACTAGCGATTTATTAAAAACATGCTGGCTGATGAGCAGAGCTGAGGCCACACTCCCACACAGTGATTCATTCTAAGATAAGCAAGGCCCACAGAAACATCTGCCCAACTACTACATTGATTTTAAATACTCAGTTTGCATTATAGTTGGCTCATATGAGGTATGATTGGAATATGCACTGAATGTTTACTTAACATTTTATTATAATAAAAGACACATTGCCATTCATCGCCTTCAAAGCATTTCCTCTGACTTCAGACACACTCACCCCATCATGCTTGCCATTTTCTGAAACAGTTCTAGAAGTCTCATTCATCAGTGTTACTAAAAGATATGATCAGAAATATGGTGAATGTTCCAGCTGTGTGACATCTAAGAGAAAGGCAGACTCCTGAAATCATGGCCATGTGTCCTTAACTTCCTTCTTCACCAGATCTGGCACTGTCTGACTTCCGGCTCTTCCCCAAGGTCAGAATGACCACAACAGGAAAGGATTCTGAGTCAATTCAAGACATGGAAGCAACTGTAACAGAGCAACTAAAGACCCTAAAGAAAGAGAACTTCCGGAACTGCTTCAGAAAGTGGGAAGAATGGTAAGTGTGTTTAAAGTGAAGGGGAATATTTTGGGGGGATTAATGGCACTATGGCTTTTATTGCAATAATTTTATTTTATTTTTTAAATTTTATTTTGAAGGTAGTACAAATGCAACAGCACAAGACAGAACAAAGCCAATTGAGACAATGAAGTGAAATTGGTACAGGATTTCACAGTAGGATACTGGGATGGTAGTAATAGGTACTATGGTATAACTCCTTAACTTTGCTATAGTTGTCCAGTCAATTAGGTACAGCAAAATCAAACCCAAAATAGAACATTATAAAACCAATTGAGAATACTGAATAGAGCAAAAAAAACATAACAAAACAAAACAGTGAAAACAACCTTTGCCTCCAAACAGAAGATAGAAGGAAATCCCCATATTTACTATACTGCATATGGTCATCCTCCCAAGAGATGCTGGCGCTTACCAAGAGGGCGGGTGAATAAGCTACCTGAGTCCCACCATGGTCGGATCTCAGGAATTCTCTAATTTTATTTTTTAAAAAATAAACATTCATCATATTTAATGTTGGCTAAAGTGGGAAGGACCACCTAACTGAACACTACATCTGCACAGGCTGCCCAGAGGGCATCGAGCTTCCTGTCGTGAGAGGTGCTGCCTGAGACTGAGTGGTCAAGCGTGGAAGCAGAGTTGGAGCTGAGCAGTGATGCTTGCCTGGTCAGTACGATTATTCCTGTGCCAAAGACTGGTCACCTCCTATGGAAGGAGGTGAAGAAGAGGAGGGAGGGCAGGCTGGGCCACGTGGGACCTGACCTTGGGTCTCTTTGTCGTTCTTCTTCCTGGACCCAAGTGACCTGGTGTGGGTTAAGGGTGCTGCTCCTTCTGGGGGACCCCCAAGAAGCAGTTGGACTCCCAGACCTGTGGCTTGGTGTATATGGAGTTGTAGAAGCCAACCTGGGGACTTCACAGGGTCCTGGGACCAGATGGAAAGTGTCAGCTGCAAACTGCTGCTCAGACACGGAGTAAACATTTGCTGGGTGGACGGATGACAGAATGATGCCATTTCATCTTGCTGTCAGCTAACAGCATGCTGCGTCTCAGGGAGCCTGTACCAGTGGCCCTTCAGGAAGCAGACCATGTCTAGAAGGTCACAGGGTCCTAGGCTCATGGAACTGAGGTCCCACTATGGTCACCCATCCCATTGCATCCTACATAGGCCTCTGTCCCGAGGCAGTGAGAGTGAACTCTGATTTCGGCTCTCTGTGGAAGGACATTTTTGGATTCAGACTTCCACAAGGGACAGAACAATCTCATTCCTAGTCCCACTGCCCTGGCCTGGCTCAGCAGGACTCATCCCCCGCTCTCCCTCCTCCCACCTTCTTCCTTCTGCCCACAGTTCCTAGAAGTAGGATCCAGGCTGCCAGCTGCTGTCTCTCCAGATTCCCTATCGGATTAGTAAGCTTAACATTTTTATGAAGGAAGAAGAAAGCCTTCCTTCTGGGAAATGATAAGAACATTCCATGCTCCTCTGGCTCCAGGGAGCCTGGGAAACAGTCACCAAAGGGAAAGAGAGTCCCAGGGACAGGCTCCCGGGGGACACCGGAGGCCTCCTTCCGCTCCTGACCCTTCCTCTCTAAGGGACTGGTGCTTGTCTGTGGCATGGTAGGAGGGCAGACCTCATGCCTGGGGACTGCAGTCCATCTAGGTGGTGGGCAGCAAGGGGGTGCAGGCAACCTTGGGAACGGCTGTCCTGACTGTGATCCTCGGGGCTGGGAGGCAGGGCATTTTCCCAAAGGGGCATGCAGAGGAAGAGGCCAGTGGGGGACAGAGATGGACTCATGGGTGGCTCTGGGAGTGGACCCTAAAGGGCCTAACAAGACAGGCACAAGAGCAGAGCCTGGTGCTCCAGTGAGCATGGGGCCTGAGTGAGGCCACTGGGGTGCGTAGCATTACTAGAGCATTTCCCTGAGCCCCTGCTCTGCCCTGACAACCTCCTTCTCCTCCCTCCCTCTGCTTTTCCTCCCCCGGAGCCTGCCCTGTGCAGCTCTGTACCTCAGGGCCTCTGTACCTCTGAGCACTCAGCCCTGAGTGCTCAGCCTCAGGGCTTCTGTGTCTCTTTCTTCAGCCTCTTTCTTCAGTCCACGCCTAGTCATGGACTTGAGGACACTGCTTACCGTCAACTTCTAGCCACCATTGCCCCAGGACATTTCTCTCCCTCTCCCCTTAGCACCTAAAGGTGCAGCTTGTCTTAGGACAGGTTTACATCCAGATAAACCCAGCATGAGTTTAAAATACTATATAGCTCCGTAATGCACCTAAGACGCTAAACCTGTGGCACGTTGCAGCTTCACGGCACTTTGCCCTGGAATGTGGGTTTCGCCATAGCTTGGCATCACAAGAGAGCATTGTGTACTGCCCAGGGGAAGTGATCAAAATCCAAACTCTCAAGTGCGGTTTCTTTTATTTTTATTAGTACATGTTTGCAGTACATAACGATTACATTCATCATGGGGAGGAGTTAGTACAGGTAAATACCACATCTAACTCTTTTTTTTAATCCTCTTCTCCTTCTCTCCCTGAGGGACAATTATAATGGCTGTGTATCACTTTTGTACCGTCTTAAGAGTTGAAAACTTATAAACCAAATATCATAACGCTGTGACTACCTGCACTATCACTGAAGAGCTTACACTTTTTAATTATTGATCACATTTCTTGTTAGTCTTTGTCCTCTAAAATTTAAGTGCCCTGAGGGCAGGAATGTCCTCCCTTTACATAGAAGAATGGCTGGGCCTAAGCTGGCCATGTGACTGGCAGGAGCCCAAGGATGCGCTGTGCCTCACACAGGGAGGGAGGAGGCCGCACTGCGGGAGAATCTAGGAAGAGACCAGCACAGCTGTGTGCCTGGCTAAGGGGAAGCGCCAGGGCTGGAAGCACCCTGAAGCTGCCCCCAGGGAGCAGAGTAGTTACAGGATGCCTTGGGCCCAGCAGGGCTGAGATCAAGGTCCGACCCTGCAGAGCAGCAGGGTCTCTTGGTTTCTGGGCCAAAGGGCAAGGCTGCTTGGAGCTGAGCAGAGATGCAGCTCAGCCTCCCACCCCCATAGATGGGGGAGAGCTCCAGAGGAGCACTGGGTTTGCGGGGGAGCCTGCTCAAGTGTTTGTCGAATGGATGGATGGATGGATGAACTGATCGCTTAAGAAACCCACACATTGTTGAAACAGCCATTGCTTCGATCCTTCATTCATTCCCCCCCCCCCCCCGCCCCCAGACTCTGGCCCTGAAAGGGTGATTTTAAGGACCTCGAGCTGCTAGTGCCTGGCCCACCTGGCCATCAGCCGGGGTCCTGTGGTAGGAGCACCCTAGAGCACACCTGGCAGATGTGGCCTTGGACAGGGCAGGGTGGGCAAGAAATCCTGGGGTTACTGTGGCACCTGTGAAGTCAGGCTAGTCTGGGTAGAGGCACTGGGTGTCGGGATGTATTATTTATCATTTGTGTCTCTTGAGCTTGAAGAAGAGGAAGTCACAGAGATGAGAGACAGAGAGAGCCCTCTGACTCTTTAATCTCATCACCTCCAACCCAAGCCATGGGGTTGTGCTCGGCCTCCAGCCTCAGTCTGCACTGCTAGGCCCATTTGACTGTTGTGGGAACTGAAGCTCAGAGAAGCTGAACAGCTTACACAAGGTCTGAGCTATGCAGTAGGAAAACTGGCACTCTACCCTTGGCACTCTGGCCTGCACCACTGCTGCCATCTGCCTATTTGATGAGAGGTTGTTATTTTCCTGCCCATCTGGGGAGAGGATGCTCTTGGTGTGGGAGGAGCCCTACAGGGAGGGAACTGTTCAGTGTCCAGTGTGGACTTTGGTCTGGGGTGGGCTTGGGGACTGTCCCGGGCTCAAGAAACCAGCCCTTACCTCCATCCCCACTGCCACCAGCTCTCTACCTTGCACCTGGAGGTGTGCAATGGTTCCTACCCTGCCCATCAGCCGGTCTCACCCTGGCCCCAGTATCTTCCACTAGGGTGTCAACACCCACTGCTTGTGGCATTTGGTGGCTCCCGTTAGCCCCAGAATAACAACTCCAGACCCCTCCCTGGTCTGGCAGGCCCTACAGGCTTTCCCCATCTATCCCACTGGCCTCATGTCCAGCCACTCTCCATTGCCTTTTCCAGTGGAGCCCACAGGCCTTCTTGCTGGCTGTGGACACCATGCCAGCCCTGCCTTGGTACTGTTTCCCCTGTAGGGAAACAGCTCCCCCACATCTCTGGAGCCTTTGTTCTTTCACATTATTGAGGTTCAAGCTCATATGTAACCTCTTGAGGACATTTTAAAATTATCCTTTTTAAATCATGTTTGAGAAAGATAATTCTCTCATTAGAACACATGCCTCCCGAGGGAGGATGTTGCCTGTTCTGATTAGAGGCTGTACCCTGTACCCTCGATACCTAGAGCAGTGTCTGGGGACCATTGTATGCGTGTGCTAAGTCAGGAGTGTTAGTTAATGGTGATGTGCCAAGCTGACTGGAGGAAGGAACACCTAGCAGATTGGTAAAACTCCTGTGTGTGTGTCTGGGGGATTACGGATGTGTGCCCTTGGGAACTGGGTATTATCCCTGACTCGTTCCTCTTTGGCACTGTTGTTCTGCTTTGCTTCCTGGCTGCCATGAGCTAAGTAGCTTTGCCCTGCCACGCCTTCCACCGTGATGTTCCTGCTTGAATGCCAGTCAGCTATGGACTGAATCTCTGGAAACCATGAGCCTAATAAAACCTTCCTCCTCCTTTAGATTGTGAGTTTAGGGTATTTTGTGTCAGTGAAGGGAAAGCTAATTTAACATTCATCCTGCTGCTTACTACCACCAGGCCTTTGAGCCTTCTGTCCTCTTCTCTGCTCAGGGAACTTCACAGACCCTTTTGGTTGGAGCCCAAAGGTCACTTCTTCATAGAGGCCTCTCCAGCTTGCCTGTGTGTGTTGGCCTTCAGCATTTTACTTTAACCCTGCAGAGCCCGTGGACTTCTGTTTTTGCATCTGACACTTGCTCTGACTAGTTCCATGTCTCTGTCCTCACTGAAATGTGAACTCCGTGAAGAATGTTTGGGATTCTGCTGTTTGTTGACTGTTGTGTGTCCAGGACTGGCACACAGTCCTGCCCTGTGGTTGTGTGTTGATTTCATTGGAGGGACAGCTGGGCCTCATCTGGCTGTCAGAGTAAGATCCCAGGCTTCCCTGGCTGCTTCTCACAGAAAGGTCAGCAAAGCTCTGCCAGCGCTTCCTGTATGTGATCACAATCTCTCAGCACCCTGTGAGTTTGTGTGCTGGCCCCCCCCCCCACTCAGAGGCAACTTGGGAGAGGAAGGACTTTCCCAAAGTGATACACTAGGTGCCACAGAGTTTGAACTCAGCTAAACTACCTACCTGGACTCACTGAGCCTGGAACATGGCTCCTGGTGTGAAGGATGGAGAAGGTGGGTGATTTTGGACATGTGAGAGGCAGCCTATCTGCTCACCCCCAAGATTCTTCCCCTTTCCCATTTTACAAATTTACTGCTATGTAACAAATTACTGCAAAATGTAGTGGCCTGAAATAGCACACCAGTTATACCAGTTTCTGTGATGCGAGGGTCCAGATGCAGTTCAGCTGCCCTGAAGCACCAGGGTCTCTGCCAGGGTGCTGTCCAGGTCACTCTCACTCAGGGACTGCTAGTGGCCCCTGATAGAACTGTGGAGGTGGGGGAAGGAGGAGGAG